CCTTCACTTGAATATGACATTGTACACTTGCCAATGATGAAATTCAACTGTTATGGATCCTTACTGAAATTCAGATTCTCTGTCAGAGAAGATGGGTACTAATAGTGGAACATTGTTTTCATTCCATTTCCCATACCTAATAGGGTACATAACTGTTGAAATAACTGGCATTTCAATCAAGAAAGCATGGGTGTTGAACGTCTTGGGAAAACCCTCCATTGTCCACAACTTGTCATGCATTGTGCTACTAATGGTGCCACTGACAAAAGTATTTTAGGTCCTTGATTAGTCATTGTTTCTTTATAGCTTGCTGGCTTATGTTGTTGGAGGCATTATGACAACTTGCTTGACAATGACCCTTCTTTCGCACTTCTTCTTCTGCATTAATTAATATGCTTATGTTTATTATAGTTAATTTCAGTGCTGGTCATGGATATATTGCATGACTTCAAAACAAGGATATGTGGAAAATCTGGGAATGGACAGTTAATTTGGTATTGGATACAGCTGAATGCATAAAAAGTATATCTGCGCACATGTAAGCCAGTTCTGATCATCTTAAGACCTGAGTTCTCCAGTGAGACTTTTACATAGAACTGTTTTGTTACCAAATGCAGTATGTATGCAAAAGCTTAAGTACCACTTTTGAAAAAAGAACATGTGTGGAGTAATTTTTACTCAAAGCTAATTGAAGTAATGTTAGTATATTGTGCCTGTAAAGTATTTAGAAAGTATACTTTTTCCTTGGTATGTATTGTTATATTTTAATTTACATTCATTTTTACATATTAATTTTCATTCTTTGTCTAGCAGTAATGAAGGATTTGGCTCAGAAGCATCTGAAGTCAAATTCCAGCATTAAATTTCCACTTGTCGTTGCCAGGTAGTAACTCTAAAATATCTCTTTTTACTGAGGACCCTTCCAAAAGGTGCAGCTGTGTGCTGGTTTCATCTTGCACTTTGTAGCTGTGTTGGCAACTCTTGAGCGTAAGGTATGCTCTCATCTCCCACCCGTTGTGGTTGCCTTAGAGCTTCTCAGGCCTCTCTGTGCTGGGGAGAGGGAAGAGTTCACAGATTGGAGTGAACTCTAGCTTGGGGGTCATCTCATTGATTCTCACTGTGGCAAAGTAAAAATAGAGCTAGTGGAAAATCCAGCTTTTATCATATGTCATGAGAAGCCTCCTTACAAGCAGGAGACCCACTGCCAGACTTGTGTCTAGAAAGAAGACGTGAAAAGCTGTATGACAGCTTTTCAAAACCTTAATATTTTGGAGAACGTGGAATTTAAAAAAAAAACAAAACAGGATTACGGGGAAAAAAAATACAGGACTTCAGGGGGAAAAAAAATGATTTCTTTAAGTGAAAAGCTGATGCTGGATTGTAGCAAAGGAATTTACAAAGTTGCTCAGATTCTTAAGAGTGGTTTTGGTTCTCCAGACCTCTGTGCTATGCTACAGAATACTTCAAAGCAAAAGATATTTTTGAAATCAGGTACTGAAAGCAGGTTGCATCTGAGCTTTTGTTCTCTTCTTTTTTACTGAAACTGACCTGTCTAAAAAGTTTTTCTTTTCCTCTGTAGATTTTAATATGCATGCTGAATTTTCTTTTGTAACACCTAGTCTAGAATCAGGACTTCTTCAAGAATATCTTAATATTCTCGCTCTAGGAATCAAATTGGTTTTTTCCCAAAATTAGGTGTAGTTTTTTCAGTTTAGGCTCTGCATTTTCCTTTCAACAATTTGAAATTGAAGAACACTCTTCCCAAATTTTGCTGTCTTCTGTGTAAGTGTTATGAACTAGCATGTTCATGAGGCATTTTGCCTTCAAATTAACATAAATTTTCTATTCTGTGGAGAAGGTGAGGAGTTTAACATTCAAGTCAGTATGATGCTATGAGTTAATTATATTGGAAATATCTCCTACATGAAGATGAAGTGAATCTTTCTTTTGATTTTGCTGAGCTCTGTAACTGTGATTCTGTGATTCTATGGACTGTGTAACTTAGATGTATTCCCTGTCATTGCTGCATCTAAGGTTAACTGCAGGCTTTGTACCTGCCATTGTGTGTGTGTGTTTGTGTCTTTTTGCTATACAGCTTGTACTCACCAGTGTATGCATAGTATTAAAAGAAAAGTGAATATCCTGAATTTTCAGTCAAATACAGAAGTATTTTACAGTTCATGTATTTATGGAATAGACTGTCATTATTTTAAAGGCTCTCTTCATATCTCGAGTTCAATAATGTCTCTGGTATATAGAAATATCCAGTTTTGGAGAAAAGAAATGGAGTATAGGGAGGAAGAGACATCAGAAATCCTCTGAACTCCTAACATTTTAGTATTTTTCCAACTGCATGTTTTAGGGTAGCAGAGGAGAGTTGGAAATCTTTCCTTTTAGCCAATGTGACATTTGCTTTATGTGTATAAATATGCTCTGTGTATATCTATATAGATATAGATAAACATACAGATATAGATATATATTTTGTGTCAATATAAAGGTGAATGCAAAGCTTCCAAAAGTCTTTCATTAAGAATATTAATGATCCAATACTATGGTTCAAACCTAGTTTATAAGCCAAGATCCTGCTTAAAACATAGATGAAAAGCGTACAGCACCGAGTAAACTGCAGGAAGAGGGACTCTGTATTTAGGTAATCTGGGTAAAGTCTACATCCACTGTATTTTTTATGTCCCACAGAGATGGGATACTATGTGCTGTGACTGTTATGTGATCTTTCCTTTATTCTTTCAATAGATTTGCCATCATAATGACATAGATTCCTAGTTTGGGGTCAACAGGAACTTTTTAATCTGAGTATTAGTTACAATAGTCTGTATTTAGGTGTGCCTCAGCAGAGGCTGCTTGGAGTACATCATCTTTCATTTGAGCCCAACTTGTGTTTGATAAAGCAGGTATGATGTTAAGCTATAAGAGGTGTTCCGATGGAACCTGAAAGTGGTCTGAAGATGTAAATTTATGAGATGAAAGGTCCATTACTTCCTGAGTAGCTTGTTCTGCCATTGGTAACTACTTGGAGATTTGCTGGTCAGCTACAGCTATATAACATGTTCTTTCTTTGAATTTAGCCTTTAACCACAGTGTTTTTCTAAGTAAATTACCTGGAAAACTTCAGAGTTTATTATGTCTAGTCATTTGCATTTTTCAACTTAACTATGGTGTCACCCAGGAAGGCAGTAGTGTGGTTTTTAACAGAACTTATCCTTTAAAAAGGTATGCAGACAATCCTTTGTTACAGTGCTGTCTTTTTTTTGCCTTCTAATACAAGTCTAGTGTCAGGTTTTACTTTATTTTGCCTAGGACTCATAATGTAGCTAGTGTGTTATCATGTTACTTGTCCTTTCAGAGTGTGGATAGGGCATTACAACTCTTTTGATCCCCAGGAATTGCTCTGATTTTCCATGAGTCATTAAAAAGTAACATCAGCAAGCCAGAGATCTGCTTAGACAACTCTTTTGGGACTCCTGAATGCACATCTTCTCATCCTCCTAAGATAAACTGCTACAACTAACAGATGTTTTTCTAATGTCCTTCTCAGTTATGAATGGAGTGGAAAGTATTCCATCATTATCATGCCATCATTCTGCATCTTTTTGCAAGGGACATGTCTCAGTGTCCCAGTTTGCTTCACTTCCATTACTAGTTGGTAAATAATTGTCTTTAATTTCTCTCCTCAGTTTTCTGCACTTTCAAACTTCCATGCAGTCTTACCACTGTTAAATTGTTTGCGTTTTTAGAAAGTTAGATAAATGCTGCTTCCAAAACAGGGTGACTTCTCAGCCAAAATTGTCTGCTTTCTGTTTCTCAGTTGTCTGTTTAACTTTTTTGCTCTCTTAAAGTTTTTCCTTTAAAATTCTCTACTCATATTTTGCTTTTCTGGTTTATGTTTTTTTTCTTTTTCTCCACCCACTTAGTTACCCTCACAATTTTGTTCATTTTCAGACTTCTAGAAACACACTGTGTGCATATGTGTGTACATACTTATGCAGGCACATTTAAGCATTGTGTGTGCATTTAAGAATTGTTCTCTGTCCGTAATGAATTTAACTGGGCAGAGATTACCATCTTGTAGGCAATTGGCAACTTTACTTCAGTGATTAAGCTTTGTCTATCAATCATAATCAATCCAGCTGTAACAGATGTTTTTGGCAGTCGTTTAATAATAACTTTATGTAAACGTTCTTTCTTTCCAAGAGTTAAACAGGACCACTCTCAAACTTTTTAGTTACTCTTTTGTTAAAAATAGTGCATTTAGAGATAAATCTTCCCTCACATCACTGAGCCAGAACATTCCTTTATACAGTATGTTCTCTCTGTGAGGAAACTGAATTGTGTGAAAAACTAGCTTTGTATTAAATCTGTATGCAGGTTTATTTGAATCTGCAAAATGTCCCTCTCTGATTATACCACTATTTATTCTTAATGAGTTGGTGTAAAAAAGAAAATTATTGCTTCAAGAAAACTATTCTGTTAATGGTATTACACTTGAAAATGGAAAGCAAACAGAAGTTGAGCTTTTGTATGAGTCTGAAATACTTGTTTCTACTGCTATTTCAGGCCTTTTAAAGTCTGTTTTACCCAGGGGATCAGCAGCTCCCAGATGGTGATGTGATTAGCTCCCCCATCTGGTGCACAATGGATATAAATTATTTAGACCCAAAATTTTTTTCACTTTCTTCCTTGCATTTTATTTTTGCCCATAGACTCCAAACTTCTATTGTGCATTCTTTTCCTAGGCAATATGGAGAGTAATTTCAGGACTAACTGAGATCCCTAAAAGAAAATGCTATGAAAATGCAATTGTCATCATTGTTATTCAGGTCGATGATTACTTGTGGAGTGTTTGCATTTAGGCGTGAGAAGTGGGATGTTTGTTGCATACTTAAAAATTAACTACCTGCGTTATGTGGCTTGACTTTCTTAAACAAAATTCAATTAAACTGTAGTTTAGCTTTTTTAATTGATTTTTTTTTTTACAGCTTTTTCACTTCCAGATCTCACAGAGCAGTTCGCACCTCCTGATGTTGCTCCACCGATTCTTATGAAGATAGTGGAGACAATTGAAAAGAAAGGTAGGCTGAAGAATGGTCTGTCAAGGATTTCTGTTACTTACATGAATCAAGACTGCAGAGTGAGATCCAGAGCTTGCATATTCTCTTTCTAGAGCTGTTAATGCATCACATTACTCAACAAATATGAATTAATCTCATGTAAGGCTTCTTGCATTGCTTTCTGCCCAATAGAGACTACTTAGATTGTAGGAGGAAAACCAAAACTTACCTCAAATGACATTTAATAACTGTACTAATATAAGCACTATTGAAAGGTAAGGGAAAAGGGGTTGGTATTGCTTTGTTTTTTCTAAACAGTAAGCACTCTAAGTCAGTTATGGAAATGCCATCATAACATTGAATTGGATATGCAGCCAAACAAGTAATGTTTTTCCCCAAAGCAGGAAAATATTTTTTTTTTTAAATTAAGTATTATATATTAATTGTTTATATACTTCTGGAGCCAGATTTTTATGGTTGGTGTATGCTGAGCCAGCCAATGCTTTATTTACAGTCATTTGCTCTCCTGCTTCCCCTTGCTGGTGTCTCTCCATCCTTTTGAAGCTTTCCCTTTTGTATTACTGTGTCTTGCTGCTTTTGCCCAATTTCTCTCCTCCTGGCTGTTCCTCTGTTGTCAGCTTCATAGGTCTGCGAGGCGATGAGAAGCTTGGTGGGTCCTCCTCACTTAGTGGCCTTACAGCCAGGGAGTGACAGGAAAAGTGGTATCCTGATCAGACTTGGGCTGCTTTGAGAGCATAGGTTCTCACATACTGGTCTGATGTGAGAGCAGAAGCCTTTCCTGACTGAGTAGGAACTTGCTAATATCGATGAGAAGTATTTAGCAACAGTTTGCATAAGCAACCACTGCTTCCAGGAAATGCCACTGATATTACTGAATCCTTGATGTTCTGCTTCCCTGGGTATGGCCTCATTCCTTGTGTCTTCTCAGTTTTCTCTGAAGTAAGGAAGTTGTAAACAGTATCTTTCACATGAAAACATTGTGTGGATTATCAGAGATATTAAGTGACATATACAGCCATTTTCTCTCCCACCGGTGACGTGACACAGACCCTGCATACACTGTGAGTCCCTGGCAGATAGTCGAAGGTGATCTAAAGGCTACTTGTCCCATAGAAGGGGCTCTCTGTCTCTGCAGGCTGCATAGAGTGCCAAAGGTTAGGCAGACTCGTTACTCAGAAGTCCCAGTTAAATCTTTAAACCTCTTTAGGGTGTGTCAAAACTTTTTTTGTGTCCCTATCCCATTCCTGTGGAGGTTGCCTGACCCAGATTCCTCACTTCTTACCCACCTGAAAGACCTGGTGTTTCAGCTGGCAGGTAGGGTGTAAAGGAAGATCTGGCTTCCGTGTTGTCCTGTAGGCTGTTTTCTTCCTTAGGGTATGTGAATCCGTTTCCTAGTCCTGACCTTCTATAGCCAGCCTTTGGAGTTGTACAGAATATGTGGAACTGCTGGCATCTCAGATCTTCCTTGGCCAGCTCCTTCTGCAGATCCGGCAGTTTGCCATGTACAAAGAGGTGTCTTGCAGCCTTAAAAAGCAATCATGTCCTGTAGTGTGGTAGGTGGATGGTGGTGGCACAATGTTGCTAATTTATACAGCAAGTACTTATCTGAAGAAAAGTCTGTTCTGTCATGGCAACAGTTCCTAAAATATGACTGTATCCCATCAATTTTGTTTTGGAGGTCTAGAATGCTCAAATTTGTATGGAATACAAGGCTCAAGCAGCTCAGCAGAATTAAGACAAATTCTTGAATGTGGTAAGTACAGTTCTATTCCTTAAATCACTAGACAGATTTTGTGATCAGACTGCTTTTTTTTTTTTCCCCTCCATATATATATGTGTGTATGTGTGCTGGTTCTGAATAATAAAATATTAAAAGGAGAAATTTAAGTAAAAAAAGTTTCTAACTTCTACACTTAATATGAAAGATATTTTTCCCTTTTACAGGTTGCCTTTTTTAATGGCTTCACTCTGTGTTTTTTTCCAATAATAATTATTTTTATAATTTCTTGGTTATTTGCTTGTTCAAGGACTGACAATCTAGCTGTACAGAGAAAAACAAAGTGTTTTGTAAAGAAACAAGATAAAGATACACTATTCCTGTGAGCCTGCAGGTTACTGTTTTATAAACAAATGGTCTTTTGTTTACATACAGTTCTGTGTGTGCATTTTTGGTCCAGTAGGTGGAGGGGCAATAGTTTTATATTCCCTGCCACCTACAGATAGGATGCCGGAAGGGAAAGGGAGAATTTTATTAGTGTTGCTGTGGTAGGCTGGGTTCTTAGTAAAATGCAGCTACACCACTACCACCCCATAGCTGTTCAAGTTCCTGAAACACATTTCCTTCTCTTTTCAGTACTTTTTATTTCTACTTCAGGCCATAATATACTGGCATGGCAACACTCAGTTACACTATGAGAGATCAGGACATACTGTAGGAGTGCTTGACCATGCCTTTGCAAGTTGGGGTGCAGTATGGGGTGCAAGCTTCCACTTCCATAAAAGAGCAAAAAAATACAAGGACTAGAAAATGAAACTGGTGTCATGCTCTGTTGCCAAAGGGACAAAGGAAGCAAACTCAAACTGTGAATTAGCTCTCTTATTTTTTAGTAATTGCATATATGAACAAAATTAACAAGAGATTATAGCATGTTCCTTCAACTCAAAAGAGAGTCCTGTCCTCTGATGATTATGGTGGGAGTGAAGAAACATGTAAGTGCAGTAAACAGGGAGGGGAGGCATGCACATGTTACTAGCAACTTAAGTAATATTTTTACTGTTGTAATCATATTTTTTCAATCCAAATAAATCCAGATTTTCTATTATATCAATGTGAATGTATCTCTTAATTTCTCTGAATCTCTTTTTAAGTCTCTAAACTGAGGTTGTACTTTTTTGAAAGATTTGTCTATCTCCTGAGATCAAAAACTTGTGGTTTATGTGTATTCTTATTTAAAATGTAATTAGGTTTGAGAAGAGAAAACAGGACCTTACCCTTTATTAACAGTGTATCTTTCTGAGTGCTCTTTATGATAGGATCAGAATCTTCCAGGACAGAGCCTGTATAGTGGGTGTCCAGATAAATGGATACAGACAGATCACATCTCCCCCACCTACTCTCTTTGAATTAGTAGAGTGCTGACTCAGAGAGCAGAGCCAGCTTTGGTCTCAAAGTTGTGAACTGTATTAGTGTGTTCTTCTGCTTATGATTAAAAAGCTCTCTGTATCAATTGGATAACTGCCTCTTAGCTGCAACGCAGTGCTGTCTAGCTCCAGAATCAAAGCTGACTTGCATCTGGTTTGCTCATGAGATGGAATAGTTGGTATCTGTTTATGACATTACACTCAAAGAGTTACAAAGTACCACAAGTTTATTCTTATTTATGTATTCATTATAATAATTTGGGATATACTTTAGTGGGACAACACTGAAAGAACCAGGATTTAACTAGGTTTATAAAACAAAAACATCCCATGAACCACAAAACTAATGAATTTCTGTATTTCTGTTTTTATTTTTGCTGTTGGTATTTTTTGCTCCATTGCTAACAAGTATTTCACTTCATGTGACACTACTGGACATTAGCCGAAGACATAATTATCCTGGAAGGGTATCAGGTTTTACAAGATAAATCCTAACACCTGCATAAAACACCAAGCACCCAGTTCTGCACATGTGTATTTGTTTCTACTTACTGATATAAATATTTATAGACTTGGAGCCCCAAGTTGTTAATCAAACTTCCAGTAATAATTGAAGTAGCAACCAGTAGAGAAGCTGCATTTGACCAAACCCTTAAGTAATACTTACTTCTTACACAAAATATTTACAGCTAAAACAGAGACCTGTTAAAAATATTCTGAAGTTCCATAACATGGTCAGCATGCAGCAACTACTGCTACTCCGAGTTATCCCTTCACTGTATAAGGCAGAAGGCATCAAACAGCTGTGGAAGCCATTTGGTTCATCACATGCTGAAAGCTTGGGCATGGAGTTGAGTAACTTCTCTTCCTCTCAAGAGATGTTTCTTGATGTCCTGCATTCTTTCCTACAAGCTGTTCCTGTAAACCAGATATAAGGTAGCAGTTTTAGCTTGATATAAAACCCTAATATCATAAGCCTGTATTTTTCAGTTTCATAGTCTAAAAAGTGTGTTGCTCTTT